AGGAATTGAGACTTGACTTTGCTGAAACAAGCTACTGTATGTCATCACACAATTGACTTTGATAGATCTTCAAAAGCCTAAGCAGGTTGGACCTGCTTAGGAAATCCCAAAGCTGTAGGTTAAATTAAGAAGTCAACAAGTTGCCCCAGAAGAAATAGTTGCAAATCTCTTGTTTAGTATGGCTGAGAAAACACCAAAGTTGTCCCTAAGGAGTCAAGCTTCATTTAAAGGAAACTTATCTTTATCTCACAACTGCTCCTAGATCACATCAAATTAATTTGGTTATCGTTCAGTGTTTCTCAACCTTGATTACTTTAAGATGTGTGGACTTCAATTCCCAGACTTTCTAGATGAGCATGCTGGCTGGGAAATTCTGGGAGTTGAAGTCCATACATCTTAAACTAGTCAAGGTTGAGAAACACTGATCTAGAGCAAGGGTCCTCAACCTTGGCAACTTTAAGACTTGTGGACTTCAACTCCCAGAATTCCTCAGCCAGCATGTCTGGCTGAGGAATTCTGGGAGTTGAAGTCCACAAGTCATAAAAGGCCCAGTTTGAAGACCCCTGATCTAGAGAATCTCTGTGCTTCAGAGATGGCACCCTCTTCCCTTCCTTGGTTAAGCAATCTTGTATCCATATGATAAAAGGCATCTGTGGGTGAATTGGTGGAATAAAAAAAAATCAAGAAGTCTGCAATCATATAATTGTGGCTACCAACTTCACTTTTGTCATATGCAGAGATACACAGGCATACACTATGGGTGTCCCTGCATGTGGGCTAGCTGAAGTCTACTCGGATTTCAGGGTGCTCTGTCAAACAAAAACTCTCAATGGCCTGTTCAGCTGTCAATCAATCTTGAAAGTTCCATCATTCAGAATTTAAATGTTAGATATTCTTTGTCTCTACTTTTGACTTAAGCCTTCATCTGATTTCAAATGAATGGGAGGGAGAGAATTTTATTTCGATCATTGACTAACTTCAAACAAAATATAACAGGAACCAGCCATAAAAATATTATACTGAAGTACTCTATGAGTAAAATACTGTGTGCAGCGTGACACTCTAATTAAGATGAAGATTAAAGTTAAAGGTTAAATCTAGCTAAGATAGAAGAAGGGGGAGAAACTCTAAAATTAATTATAAGTGAAATCTAAAACTAGAGGCTGCGTGTCATGCAATGAATTAAGAATATAGAAATAAACTGTACTGTAAAAATCTAATAATCTAAAATATTGACAAGTTACAACTAATAGTCCATTCGTATGTGACCGAGGATTAATGGAACAGATATAAAGATATTGCTTATTGTAAAACAAAGCCAGGTCTTTGCATACATTCACAGATACTGGGCAGAATTACATTACTATATGCATAATAAAGCTTTTTTTTTTATCAAATCGGAGGAAATTAATATAAAAATTCTGAGATTGGTAAGCCTTTGCCAATTGTCACATACTCTTTTTTCTCATTTATTTGTTATGTTTTTTTCACTTTTCATCTTGGAAGTTTCAGTTATTTTCAAAGTTTGGATTGCTAACAAAGAATTAAGGGAAAACTGGAATAGCCATTTTGAACTTTTTAGTTCTTTTCAACCAGACATACCCTTCTGAGATTCGAACCTGGGCTGTCTGCATGTTAAGCAGATGTATTAACCTCTAGGCCACATGCTCTTTCTCACTTTGTCAGCTATATATTAAACTATATATATATTAAACTATATATGATCAGTCTATAATTTTAATGGTAGATTTATTTTAACAGTGAGAGACAGAATAACAACAACAAAAAAATCCAGAAAAACGTATTTCCAAAAAAGTTATGTTGAATGAGAATTTGGTTGGATCTTTCAATATAACTATCACTTATCTGTTCCTATTTTTAATATTTTTGCTCATTAATATTCATAGGAGTATAACATAAAGTAGAAAACAAACGTTCAAGATGTCTTGGCCTAACCCAAGAGTTCGCTCTGTTGCACACATTTGACAGATAAAAGACCCAATAAAGCAGAGATGTCTCTCTGCCTCATCCAGATCTTAAATTCTAAAGCAGTGTTTTCTGCTGGCTGGGAATTCTGGGAGTTGAAGTCTACACATCTTGAAGTTGCCAAAGTTGAGAAACTGTAAAAGCAACATGTTTCTCACTTGCTGGTAGCCTGGGTGATGATTTGCACAAGTTGAATTGTGTGCAAGAGGGAAAGAGGCAGGCAAAGGCAGAAAGGGCAAAGTCAAAAGAGGAAGGGGAAACCTTTGACTTCCAGGTCGCTAATACACACCAAACTCCCATCCCTGGGAAAGCACCACATCTCTGATCCAAGGCCTTTCAGCAGCCTCAAAATCTCCACGAGCTCCTCCAATGCACCCCTTTGTTCTCCAGCATTTGAAGCCTTTAGGTCAGTGGTTCTCAACCTTTTAAATGTCGCGACCCCCAACCTGTTGTTAAGTCGAGGACTAAACCGGTCGTAAGTCGAGGACTAAACCAGTCGTAAGTCGAGGACTAAACCGATCATAAGTCGAGGACTACCCAACCGGTCGTAAGTCGAGGACTTTCCCTGCCCAGGAGCGCTGCGCATGCGTGGTTCCGCCCCCTGCGCCGGCCGAGGCGTAGCTGGCAAGCGGCAGAGACGGAGCAGGCCGACCACCAGCTGGCCCAGCCCAAGGGAGGTAAGGCACCCGCCGGAAAAGGGGGGAAAAAATGGCGGACAGCCTTGCTTGGCGACCCCCGTGAAATGGTCGATCGATCCCAAATGGGGTCGCGACCCATAGGTTGAGAACCGCTGCTTTAGGTCAAGCTTCTTTTCCAGCTGCCCCAATTCTGGCATGCCTTCACACAACAGGAACAACCACAACTGGGGTTGTGAACAGTCGACTTGTGCAATAGGGGGTGGATAGAACGAGGGGGGGGAGAGGGAGAGGGAGAAAGAGAGTAAAAAAGAGATAGATAGATAGATAGATAGAGAACTTCTGAGTCCTGCTGGAAATTCAACCCATTGGCTCAAGAGTTGCCAGCAAGATTCCTGAGGGCTCTGTGTGTGTGTGTGTGTGTGTGTGTGTGTGTGAAAAGAGTCAAGATGGCAACCTCAACCTTAGAATGAAAGCCTTGCCCTGCCCTTTTCTTTTCCTTTTCTTTTTTTGAGTGCAGGTTGCCCCCTTGAATCGTTTTGACACCCGGCGAGGCCCCGCTGACTCCGGTTTGTTCTGCTTTGAAGAGTCCTTGTGTGCAGAACGGGGACGGGAAAAAAACAAAAACAGGAGCAGCATCCGGGCTTCCTCTGGGCGCTCCGTTCCGACAGGCGCCCCCCTCCCCACCCACCCGCCCCGAAGCATCTAATTAAGCCGCAACGCCCGCAGGGGGTCTCCGCTCTCCCGAGCCCCTTGCGAGCTCCGCGCCGCCGCCGCCGCCGCCGCCACTGCCGCTCTCCTCCCAGCTCCGTTGTTCTCTCGCGCTGCCTTCCCTAAGGCCGCCCAGCGCGCATGCTCCATTCGAAGAGCAGCCTTTCCCTCCGCACACATTCTCTCCTCTCTCTCTCTCTCTTTTCCTCCTCTTCCTCCTCCTCCTCCTTCTCTCCCTCCCTCCCGCCTGGCTCCATCCGGGCAACTCCGAATTAGCATTGACAGCCGTGGCACAACTTTTTTCCCCGAGGCAAAAGTGAAATCAAGGCGCGCGCTCGGAGAAAAGATAGTCCCTGCCGTTTTTTTAAAAAAAAAGTCTTCTGGGTCTCCGAGCTGGCCACGGGGGGGGGGGGGGGGGGGGGGGGGGGGGGGGGGGGGGGGGGGGGGGGGGGGGGGGGGGGGGGGGGGGGGGGGGGGGGGGGGGGGGGGGGGGGGGGGGGGGGGGGGGGGGGGGGGGGGGGGGGGGGGGGGGGGGGGGGGGGGGGGGGGGGGGGGGGGGGGGGGGGGGGGGGGGGGGGGGGGGGGGGGGGGGGNGGGATTGTTGGGGGTCGCTTTCCTTTTCTTTTTTTTTCTTTTGGCAAACATTTCCCTTCCTGGGGAGGGCGCGTGCTTGGGATTGTCGGGGGGGGGTGGCGGCGCGGTGGGGGGGGGGAAGAGAGAAGAGAAAGTGTCCACGCGCGGGGTTTGAGCCAACCTCGGGGAGGGGAGGGGGGTGAAACCAAGCTCCCTCCCCAAACTTCGAGAGGGGGAGGACCAAAAAAAAAACCAAAAAAAAAAAAAGTGCCTCGCAACTTGCAAGGATGGAGATGGCCGGTTTGCGAGAGGCGTTAAAAGTGGAAATCCAGGGCCGGCAGCAGGTAAAAACAAGGGCGAGCCAGCCGCGGCCGGGAGCATCCCGGGTCTTCTGGGCGCGAGAAGGCGCCCCCGGGCACGGGCAGGACCCGGCCCTGCCGGCTTCCCGGGCAGCTCTGGGTCCCCGCCGCAGGTTGAATCGACCGGGGGGTGGTGGCGGCGGTGGAGGAGGAGATGGAGGACGGCAGAGTCCGGCTCACGCGAAGGGAGAGGCATGGCGGGGCGGGGAGAGCCTCCCGCCTCTCCCGCTCGACTCCGACTCGCCGCCTGGAGCACTTTGGCGAAGTACTTTGACGGATTGTTTGGCTGACTTTCGGCGTGGGAATCTGCGGGGCTTCGATCCGGAGTCACCCTTGCGGTTGATCCTTGTACGTGTGTGTGTGTGTGTGTGTGTGTGTGTGTGTGTGTGTGTGTGCGTGCGCGCGCGCGAATGTGTGTGTGTGTGTATAGACGTCCGTCCGTATATGTGTGTGTGTGTGTGTGTTGGAGAGATTAGGACGAGACTTGAATATTTATGAGCTTTGCTTGAAACTGACTCGCTGTGTTTACTTGCCTCTTTGTTCCACACCCCTCCCTTCCTGTCCTCCACACACACTCCCACACACACACACACACATACATACACACACACAAGAACATATACACACGCACTTTTTTAAAAAAAAAAAAAAAAAATCCATTACACCTCTAAGACTTTTAATTCATTCTTTTTCGGGGTACTTCCCCCCCCCCTTTAAACAGAAACTAGTTGCACAGATGAAGCAAAATCCACAGGTAAATGCAGATGGCTGTATTTTCTTTTTTTCTTTTTTTTTTTAATTAAAAGAAGAGTCCCGGTTCCACCGGATTTTTAGCTGTGTTGCAATAAGTGCTCCGACCTCAGGAGGAGAAACTTTATCAATAGGAGATCCCTTTGAAGTCCGGGCTGATCTTTGTTACTTTATCTCCATCTCTATCTCTCCTCATTGTGCCTGATTTTCCTTGCGCTTTCGCTCGAAGCCATTGCTAGATGCAAGTTTACTTTTAACTAGCTTTTAGTTTGCACTTGGTTTTTTTAATCTGCATTTTATTGCCATTTTTACAGAACGGGGATCTTAAGAAACAAATCCAAGAGAGGCAGTCGAGAATAGCAGCTCTTAATGAAAAACAAGTAAGAACAAATCAATTCAGTTCTGTTTCTTTGCACTGAGCTTCTTCTGTTTCTTCTCTTCCTGGCTTCCCTTCTTTTTCTCCCTTTTCTTCTGCTATTAATAGTACACTTTCTAAACATCTGAAAAGTCCGCCGTTGGCTGAGAAATACCTCCATGTGAATAAAACACTCGGTGTTTATTATTTTTGTTTTGCTTTTGTTTCTTGGTTTGTTTCTTGGAGTGTTTTGTGTGTTTAAAGGTTGCCTAAAGTGAGAAACGATTTAAAGATCAGGATTTATTTATTTATTTACTTTTGCCTTGAAATGCCTTTATACGGGTAGTCATAACAGAGAAAAAGAGTGAAGCTGTTGTTGGAACCAGTTTTATTTTAACACTCTCTCGCCCTCCTACACACACACACACACACACACACACACAGGCGTCCATTTTGAGTTGGTCGACATGTTTTAGGAATATGGAAAATTCTTGGGTCTTGGATTAGTTTGTGTTCACTTCCTTTCAACGTGGAATAACTCAAGAGTTGGGAACAAGGAGGCTGAGACCAGCCGCCTTGGAACGTCTGCAGATCCGAATTTGGTCGGAAATGTTTATTTTGTTGGTATGTGATGTATATATTTCTCTCTCTCC